CAAAAAACGAAAATTCCCGTTATTTTTTTACATCTCATACCTAATATTCATATACAATATGTAATATTTCTGGTCTAAAAGCTGATATGCTAACGGCATGTACGAACATAAATAAGCATATGAAATTTCATTCAAAAGCGTAGAATAAAATTGTTCAAAGTGTGTGTGTGTGCACTTAAATATGTAAATAGTATGCATGTACAGGTCTGCACAAATGTCATGGTCATCTGAATGAGCGAAAACTCCTTCCATGCTGGTAACTACCAGTCAACTAACGACGTCATAAGCTTACATATAAGCATCATACATATACTTGTTAAGCCCTCATACACAATCGCATAAATGTGCGCATAGCATTTATATAACAACAAAAATTAAGTGTGAATATGACTTGTCAATGTAAACAAAGCCTGACAACCCAGCGAGTACTTCGGTATCCCTGTGATAAACATGAGAGGGTGACTGATTCCCACAAGAAACTACTGATGGCTTCACCAATACACTAAGGTTTGTTCTGTCAGTACTGACGGTTAATTTACCCATCAATTGACCGTCACTGTTATTTTTAAAAAGAGGCACTTACGATTTTTACTGCTTACTACAGCTTTACATTTGTAAGAAAGAAATACCTGCATTCTTTAGTACTGACAGTACTATGAACTGACAGGCAAATGAACAGTTTACGATTTTTCCAAAAGCAAATTCTGTATACGTCGTTAAGAGACAACACACATTTCCATAGGAGTTTCGAGAAGTTGTGAAATACCTATGTATGTAGCTGTTATTCCGTGCGATAAACCCAAAGTGTTGCGTGCTCCTGTGTAATAACTATTTTTGTGTTAAAAAAGTAAATAACTGACGACGGAGTTTTCAAATATAATATAAATATATCTGTAACTATAATAAAATTTATATTTTTAGCTAATTTTCATTTTTATTTAGGCGTTTTTAAATTCCAAAATATCCATGAACTCAAGAAACACGTACAGCACAGCCTTTGAGATGAGCAAGCATGGAATCAAGTGAAAATTTATTTTCATAATTTATTATTTAATTATATTTTTTTTTGCACTCCTTTCTTATATTTATATATGTATATTGTTATAACTAATTTTAATTACAAGTTTTGAATTTATTAAAGAAATAAAAATTGTTTTATATACTGCGCAAAAGAATTTTTCACTTGTGATAGATTTACAGCCATAACTGACAATTTTCAGCTTTGATGGATTTATGATCAGCAATGACTCAGGAAAAGGCATGAGAGTGAGTGAGCAGTATAGATATATAGTGAATCAATTCTAAATACCCATGCGTTAAAGAGAGACATCAATTTTTGCACAAGGCTCAAGGAAAATGATAGAAACTTTGTTCTGCCCGCTGACAAAATTTTTTAAGCTGTGACTGTCATTTTACAAGGGCTCAATGCACTTTCCATATAGATACATATTTAATGCGATTTCCTGTTCATTATTCAAGTGCATACATAATTATATTTTCCACCTGCATTTCTTTTTTATCATTTGCTATAGTCTTCATTTGTTTATTTAAACTCGCTTATACGAAAAGTAAAAAAAAAATTATGCTAATAGTGTTCTTCTAACTAAATGAGAAAATAAATTTAATAGGAACATTTTTGCTTTGAGGCAAATTGTTGTTTGTTTTAGTAACTGGAGAAAAATGAAAAGAAGTTGAAAGCAACAAAGTTCAAATGGATAACTTAGTAAACTTTTCAATTTAAAATTGTTAAAGGTTTTAAAACTTTAGTTAAATAAATTCATCATCAGATGATTTTATAACCAAGATCAACTGAACTTTCATCGCGGTGTAATTAGCGTAGCAACTTGTTAAATTTATGTAATTACAAGTGGTTGCTTTCAGCAATTGAGGAAAATTATTCTTACATTAGTAGAAAGGCAGGCAGAAAGGTGAAAGGCAGGCGTAGTAGGTGCGGAAGAAAAACTAGTGAATCACAACTACAACAATCCATTTAACGTAGTATAGCACCTAGCATAATAAATTCATAATTTTTTGCATAAAATTGAAGGTTTTATTCAGTATAGTTTTAATGATCCGATTTAGATCAAATATGCGCCACTTTATTCAATAAGAAAATCATTCCCCATAGATAGGTACAGATTTTACTTGTTACCAGGTCCGGACTATAAGGTGGATGCATAAGATCCCAATCAAGTTCTAGGAGCTTCCGGGAAGTCGTTATCGAAGTGCGTGGCTTGGCGTTGTCCAGATGGAACACAATTCAACTTTTATTGGCCAAAGTCGGCTGCTTTCTTCAGACGGTCTAATTGTTGACAGTACAGCTCCAAAGTAAGAGCTTGGCTGTTGAGATGTAGCTCATAGTAGATTATTCCCTACCAATATCGCCAATCGCACAGCAAACCCATTCGGACCGTTAATTCTGGCTTGAACTCCGTTAGCGTGGGTTCACCGCGATTTGACCACGGCCGTTTTCAGTTGGCTTTTGACATTTCGATACTATTGAAGTACTTCAAATTAAACTGGACTTTTCTTGATATATCTGGACGGTATTCTGGATATATCGAAAACTTGTATTTTATATTTCTAAGATAATATGCGATGTCTCTATCAATTTAATAGAATAAATAAGCCAGGCTTTCCAGACAAAGTACATATTTCGAACCCGATTGTCTTACTTTTGGACTGTTTTTCTACACACAACTCCTTGGCTTCTACGATAACTTTAAAATTTAAACTAATTACCATTAATAATTAATTTAAAAACTTATATGAATAAAAATCTTTATTATGGCCTTCAAAATATGCAAGAATGCCAACGCTTAAACCCCACTTTTTGGAGCTTCAATCGTTGGATCGTTGGAAATTTTCGACACGATAAACCCATATCACGTCACCAGTATTGTTGCATTTTATGAACGTGCAGGATCATCAGCTACGTTGTCAAGCATTTTTTGCGAAGTCTACTCAATTGGTTTTGCAAAAGTTTCAGGTCTTTTGGTACGAGTCTTGCAATGAAACACTTCATATCCTAAGCATTTACCAAAATTATGTTTTTAATTTGAAGGAAGCACGCAAACGGGAAAAGATTTTTTTATTCTTAATTATATGCTTGGTATAGATTTTTTTTTAATCTGGTAGTTGGGATTAAAAACTAAAAATATGATTTCAAATTAAAAAAAATAAATATTTAATCCGGTTTGTTGGAAAAAAATTTTTTTTTAATCCCGTATTTTGGATTGCAAAATAAAACAAGTAAGGAAGGGCTAAGTTCGGATGTAACCGAACATTTTATACTCTCGCAAAGTCAAATGGTATACTCCTTTGAGATTTCTTTGTGGATTGGCTGATATTTTCGGTAGAAGGTCAACTATAGGCACTGGGGTCCACATATTCAGTACCTAGGGGCTTGAACAGTTTCGGTTCGATTTATACAATTTTTGGTCACAAGGTGGCATACTTTAAACGTATTATTCACGCAAAGTTTTACCCCGATACAATCATTGTTGCTTGATATGCATAGTGGAAAGTGAAAGAATCAGATGGAATTGAAAATGGTGTTTTATGGGAAATGGGCGTGGTTGTAGTCCGATTTCATCCATTTTCGTACTACAACATAGAAATATAAAAAGAACGTTATGCACCGAATTTTGTTGAAATTGGTTAAGCAGATATCAAGATAGGGGTTTTCACCTAAAAGTGGGCTGTGCCACGCCCACTATCTAATTTTAAACGAGGTTCCTATAAAGTCATCTCATACCATGCCAGATATAAAATTTAATGTCTCTGGCGTGTTTAGTGCTTGATTTATCGCGGTTAAGAGTTAGGTTAAGAATAAAACTAAAACTATTGCCAAAAAGATCCGCGTTCAATAGAATACATATGTGTGTATTAAAATATTAATATTTATATATAATTCACAACTCAAATCGGTAGTCTGATCAATTAAAATGTAAGAAAAACTATCACACAATTTTATACAAAAAATTTTTAAGTCATATGTTCATCAAAAGTAATATTATCATTCGCATTTTTATGCTTGAAAGTGTTAGCTTTTATGTTTCATGCATTTTTGTAGGCGAACTTTTTAATCCAACCTAAGCTTTACACTACAAGATTCCACAATTTTAGAGTTTTCTACTTCTATGTGTTGTTGTTCATCTTATTAAAAAAAAAAATTAATATATTAAGGTTATATTTATATTGTATTTGGGTATCAAATTAAAAGCTGTGAAATGTTGAATAAAAAGTTATAACAAATATTTAATACTTAATCGTATGAAAGTAAATCTGTTCTCAGTTCGCTTTTCCGCTAATACGAGTAATTGTACATTTGTACAATATGTTTATGTCGCTAGTGGCTCAGACAATTTCATTTCGCTTTCATATTTCGTTCGCATAAATATTTTTCGCCTAACGCATAATTCATTTCAAAATTAAAAATTTAAAAAAAAAATTAAAATATTGTTGTTTTTTTTTTCAAAAACATTAAAAATAATATTGTAAATTATGCTGAAATTGTATGTAAATTCTTTCTATGTGGTAATTGTGTTCTACTTTGGTTCTAAAATAATTCTTTTATGTTTTTGTTTCGTTTTTTCTTGTTTTCTCAAAAACAAAAAAACGTGTCTTTTTCCTGTAAAAATGCTAAATGCCAAACTACTACTACTACTGTACTACTACTCTCTATTAACCAATAAAAATTAACTAAAAGTTTGCATACTGCACGGATATTGTAAGTCTCTTTCGAAATCGTCATATATATTAATGTATATTTATTTATAGAAATCTGTATTTATGTATGTATATGAAATATTTTTACTCTTTCTATCTAGTACATACAATGAATTCTTTCTCTCTCTCTCTTTCTCTATCTACCGAAAAATTACATATGCGCCTTAGTATGATATATGCTATACAAAATTGTTATACATATTTGCAACAGTTGCATCTAATATGAATTTCCGTTTTGCGCTACAATTGAATTTCATTCGAATTTCCAGACAATGTTCATCCAAAAATGCGATTCAGTCTTTCACCGCCACCATCATCCAAGTCCGCTTCCGTCATAACATCGCCCACCAATATGCAGGCCAATTACGCACAAAGCAATTACAATGAACCACGTGTTTCCGGCGTTGGCGCCCGAAGTGACGATGATATCTCGCCCGCCAAAGCCACAGCAGCACCAACAGTCGCTGCAGCGCCAGCTAAGCACGATGTAGACGATGAGGCGGCATCTGACTACAATCAATGGTTGCACGCCATGAAGCTGGTGGCGCGCTTGCCAGGCGGCATGCCACCGGAATTTAGGCGCAAGGTAAGCTATGGTCGCCTGCGATTGTGGGTCAATCCACTGGGCCGGAAATATTTATGTAATTGTTTTTTAATTGAAATACTTTTTGGTTTTTTTTTGTACGCTGTGCCACTTACTTTTTGTCTGCCTAGTTGTGGCTATCATTGGCAGATAAATATTTGAAATCGAAAAATGTAGACTGGGCCAAGGAGGAGGAGAAATGCTTCTGCGAAAAGTGGCGCGAAGATGACGAAGAGCTGGGCATACAAATTGTCAAGGTAAGTAGTTGGAATATATTGAAACTAACTCCTTATGCACATAGGCGGCTGAGCTTTTACAAAATCCACTTATTTTTGCAGGACTTGCACCGTACCGGCTCAAATCTGTGTACTGGTCCGGCGGCTACGATTAATCAGGCCAAATTGAAGCGCATACTTTTAGGTTATGCGCGCTACAATCCGGAAGTTGGTTACTGTCAGGTAATTTCTTTTAGACATCAAATTGCCCTCGTTTTCATGCTTTATCTTGCCGTAGGGTTTCAATATGCTTGGCGCGCTGATATTGCAGGTCATGGAGAAGGAGGAAGCCGAATCAATGAAGGTGATGATCTATTTGGTTGAAGGCGTGTTACCCCCTGGCTACTTTCATGGTTCCATGGGTGGCTTGCAGGCCGATATGGCGGTATTTCGCGAGCTAATGCAAACAAAATTGCCGCGTCTGGCAAAACATTTGCAAAAGCTGCAGGGCCCTAGTGAAAATGCCTTCGAGCCTCCGCTAACGAATGTCTTTACTATGCAATGGTTTCTAACGATGTTCTGCACCTGCTTGCCAATGAGCTGTGTCTTGCGTGTCTGGGATCTTGTCCTTATCGAGGGCAGTGATGTGCTGCTACGTACAGCACTGGTGCTATGGAGCCTGTTGGAAGAGTAAGAACCTTGAGGGGGTTAATTGAATCATTGAGTATAGCAAAACACTTACATTCCTTACAGTCGCGTGCTGAGCACCCGCACAGCTGATGACTTTTATGGCAAAATGGGTTCCTTCTCGAGCGAATTACTTAATGGGCATCTAATTGATTCGAATGGCTTGATTGAGAAAGTGGTGCAACTTGGTCCGATACCGGATATACAGAAGTTACGCGACAAGCACCTATACAATATTACTCCTCTGCATCACAAGCAAGGATTACAGTAATTTCATAATTTTTTTATGGAAAACTTAGAGCTTTAGTTTATTTCTTATTTCAGATTCTACTACGACGACGAAGAGCCCGGCTCGGATGAAGAATCACGACTGGCTGTCGCCACTGTTTGGGGTATGCCTTGGGGGCGTCGTGGTTCACAAGGTCAAACTACTAACGCTACCAAGCAAGTAACCGAGAATAAAGAGCGTCTAGCTCTAGATATTTCACTGCTAAAGAAGCAATATGATCGTATGCGCGAACGTCAACGTCAAGCACACATTATTTTAACCACCGCCTGCTCCACAGCCCGCCAGAGCGCTATCGCCACAACTTCCACACAGTCTAATCAGTCGGTCGCTATGAATCAATTGCTTTTGGGTCGCGCTGCCATCGTTACGAACAAAGGTAGACGACCCCCGCCAGGTGCTATTCCTCCCGCCCGTAAGCCATCCCTGCCCACAGTGCTGCACTCAAGACAACCTGTGCGGCAATTGCGTCGTGGTGAGACTTTACACTGGCGTGATGCCGATATAAGTAAACGTCGTAGAGACAGTCTAACATGGAAGGAGATTAAGGCGGATCGTGCTACATTGTTGCGCGATGGTGTAGACGCTGTACCAAAGTCACAAAAAATTCGCTCGCGTATCGGTAAGAGCGACTCATCGTCGTACAGTGAAGAAAGTGAGGGTGACGACGAAGTTGGCGGCTCGAGTACTGATACAAGTCTTTGCGATGAGGACGATCCAAATTCGGGCGCTGATAAAACACATTCCTCTTCAATTGAAAATAGTCCCAAACGTAGAGCGAAATCATCCCGTAAAGCCAAAGAACTCTCTACGAAGCTAGAAACCCTAAATGAACCCAGTGATAGTGAGAAAGAACGTAGACGTCCTAAGTCTTGGGCACCTTCTTCAACTGAGATTCCTTTCATGCTTATGACATCCGATTCGCCGACATACAGTGGTGATGAGCAAAAGACACCACGTTCACATCATTTTGAGGAATTGATAAAGGAGGAGGAAGATAGCTCGACGGAATGCGATCGCCTCGGTTATAAAGGTGCAGCCGTGTCAGTGGAATGGTCTGACACTAAATTTTCATCTATCGCTGGCGATTTGGCTACTACGAAGCTAGGTGCACTACACATTCAGACAGATGTCTTAGAGTTTCCTGTGATAACAAGCACAAGTCAGCTTTCTCCAATGCCAGATATAATTGCTTACCTCAATGGTTCCAATATTAGTCCGTTGCCAACACCAAAACCACTCTTCCTCGACTCAACCAACTCCCTGGGCAGTGGGGATGATGGCGAGGAGGGTAAAAGATTTGCTGTCAGCGATGATGGTGTGACGAATCAGTATTTCGAACGTGTCAATAGTGTAGAGAGACCCACAAAGTTAGACTTATTTTATTCGCTCAACGAAGAAGATGGCATACGTAGAGACGAAGATGAAGCTACTGAACTAGTAGAGGTTGAAAAAAGTGATACTGTTGATACAAATTCAAGCGATTTCTGTGAAAAGAATGGTACACAAGATGGTATCAAAGAAATAGAAGCCACAGATGCAGACTCTCACAGACGCATGGAATTACTAATGGACTACTCTGAGAAGTCGTCAGCGGCTTTCATCGCTGAAGCGACTACTGAACTTTCCACAAGTTTAAGACAAGACAAAATGAAAGATTCGCACGAGACAGACGATTTTAGTAACACAGTTCACGGCAAAGTGGAGAATAATGAAATACCTAGAGGCACAATAAGAGATGCCAATATCCCTGGCGAAGCAGCTGCACATTTTGAAGAAAACTCTGCAAATGTGGAAGAGCACAAGGCGTACGAAGATAAGGTGAAAGCAAAGAAATCAAACACATTGAACAGTGCCTGTAGAAAACGACGTGATCCTAGACGTATGACGTTAACACGTTCTGCAACTATCGACATTGAGGAGCGCTTTCAGACAATGGAACGCAGAATGAGTGAAAATAGTTTTCGAACAGACAAAGTGAAGACTAACGGCGATAATATGTTTGCTGAAGACAGTGCTAGAAAAATTCCAACAACAGCTGAGTTGGAAAAAAGGTTGAACACGCTGGAGAAGGAAATGAATGTGGACGCGAATGTGAGGAAAAGGTTTGCAGAAAGTAGCGAATTTAGAGATTTGTCTATACACAAATCCACAGAACTAACGAACAGCCCTTTTACAGAATCAAAACACGTCGAAGATTCAAGCAAAAACTTCAATGAAAATTCCATAATAGAAGATTTAGCAGTTAAGCCCCTTGATACCGACATTAGAAATAGTATATCTGTTATTGTACACTCTGAAAACACACCTGAAGATGCATTATCGAAACGAGCCAGCAATCACATATATTCAACTACAAAACTGGAAGATCGGTATAATGCATTGGAGAGACAGTTAAGTTCAAATGGTTTGCCAATTAAAAGTTCAATGGATTTGCGACAGGATGATAAAGCGGATGGGGCTAAAGATATGCCAACTCCACCCAATACGCCAACCGATGGTAATAAGCAAAATTTAGAGAAAGGTGAGAGTCAAAAGAAGCTCAAAAATGAAATTGAGACAGATGAGGACTTGGAAAAAGAAGAGGAAGTCAAGGAAACCGAAAAACCACGCTTAAAGAAATTGCCTTCTACTGCCGAATTGGAAGACCGATTTAATGCACTTGAACGAAGAATGAGCACACAGAAGTCAAGTCCCTGCAAAACAAAAAAGGAGCCACCCGACGAAGCCAATGTCGAAGAAAGAAGTGACACGAAAGAGAGACCAAAATATGAAGACAGCGATGTTGAAAGTGTAATTAAAGAGAAACCAAAAACTTTTAGCGATGAGGATATAAGAACAGAAGAAGTTAAAGAGAACATACACTTTGCTGAACAAGTTGAATTACAGTCGAAACGGGGTACCAAAATTGAAAATGCAAAATTAAATGAACAGAGCGAAAAGGAGAAAGGACATGAGGAAGAAAATGTAAAACGTACAAGAGAAAAGTCTCCAGGAAAATATTCTGCGGGCGAAAGTAAACAAGGTAGCAATTTAGAACGTCCGGGCCATGATGACAATGGTCAAGTCGATACTAGAATGACTACTAAAACAACTAAAATAGAAATCGATACAGAGAAGAAGGTGAAAGAATGTAAAAACTTAAATGACACTAGTAACGGGAGCAAATTAGAAAATCAATCAAAAGAACGCGATGGTGGGCATAGTGAAAAGCCAGTAGAAGAAAGCAAAAGCGAAGAAGCAAAACGTTCGGGAAGAAAATCACCACCAAGTACGGAGGAGCTTGAGAAGCGCTTTAAAGCTTTAGAAAAACAAATGAGTAGCGCCAGCTTGGTGAGTAGCAAAGAAAAGAAAAGTACAATAGAAATTACAAAGACGCAGGAAGTTAGGAACAAAGAACGTTCACAAAAATCTGCAGAAACTGTCAAACAAAATAAAAGCTCAACGCCAACTGAAAAATGTCAGACAAAGTCTGAGGTAAAAGAAAATCCACGAAAAACTGAAAATACAGGGGAAAAGTCTAACGAAAGATTGGAATTGTCAAAAGAATCCGAAAAGGCAAAGTCAAATAATATTGAGCAGAAGAAAATCGCATCACAGTCCGAACACACTAAAGCACAAATTCAATTAGAACAAAGCAAAGATATACCAAATTCTGAACCGACAAGAGATGCTAACGCAGTCAAGAACTTTGAGGAAAAGTGCAAGCAAGTCAACAGAGAGTTAACTAAGCAGGATGGGACTGACCTAGATCAGACTCAAAACAAAGTAAAGATACCAGATCCTAAGCTAATTGAGGTCTTTAATGAGAAATGTAGAGAGGTCAACGAAAAATTAACGAAAACCACTGAAAAGATAGAAGTCCAGCCAGAAGCGGGAAAAAGTAACAACTCTCTAAGTGTGAAAAGTAAACGTCGTGCCTCTGAACCGCCATCTACAGAAGACTTAGAGAAACGTTATGAATCTTTAAAAAGGCGAATGAGCACTAAATCGATAGCTGAAAAAGAGCACGGTGTAAAAGTAAAGTCTGAGACAGTTGTAGAGGAAGAGTCACATGAGTTACCGGAAGTAAGGATTACCACCAAGGAACCGAAAAGGAAATCTTCGGAACCACCAAGCACTGAAGACTTGGAGAGCCGATACGAGGCATTACACCGGCGAACAAGTGAGCAAAACGCACAAAGAGTCGAAAAGGAACAAGAAAGAGAGAAACGAGGAAAGAAAGCAACACATGAAAAGACAACGAAAGCCACGGATAAAGAGAAATTCACTAAGGCACAAAATGATAAAGAAAAAACTGCAGTAGATGATACACAGGTGTCCTCTCACATACCCGTCGCTCCACCTATGCCATTAAAAGATTCAACAGAAACACCATTCAATGACGAACAACACCGCGCTCTCATACAAGAGTTCCAGAGTAAAATTAAAGTACAACCCAATGGCGAAAATCTAAAACCCAGCGACATTAATCCAAATCGCCGAATAACACCAGAACGACAACGAACATCGCCGTTCGATGGAACCTCGGAAGCACATGCAAACACCGCTTTCTTTAGATCGGAGAATTACGAACCTTGGTACCATCAATCATACAAAATGGTTCGTCGTTTCTCCGATTTACCATCAAGAGCTGATCTTGAGAATCGTTTACAATTTTTGGAAAGACAATTGATCATGAAATTCTACAAGCAGCGCTGTGCAAGTGATTCCGAAGTGGCATCGAGAAAACATTTCGCCGATTTGAAGAGTCAGTCCGCAGACGACGAAGTACCCACCACATCCACACGTGCTCAACAGCAAACAGCCGATGATTTGGAAAAGCGTGTGTTAGCGCTAGAAAAGCAGTATAGTGAAAATAGTCTCAAGTTGCTAGAAGCTGTGCGAATAAAGGAACAACAAACAGCTGTAGCGACAGACTCACCACGGCGACTCAGCTTAGAGACTGTTGATGCGACCGGTAAAGAGCTCGTGCGTTACGTCGGAGAACTCGAAGAAACTGGTGCCCTCAAACCGATCAATATAAGTATTAATATTAAAATGATGCTCAAGCGAAATGAGGACACTGACAAAAGTACTAAGCCTAAAGATAACCTCCCGACAGCAGCCGAATTAGAGAAGCGTCTCGAAGTGTTAGAACAGCAACTAAAGTTGTCCAGGTCACGTCGTGAGGGTAGCATCGACCAATCTAATGATGGTGGAAAGCAGGAATTGAAGAAATCCGAAGAGATATCAGATGAAGCTGCAGTCAAAGAAAAGACCAACGTTGAAGTTGTAAACGAAACGCCTGAAATTAAGAAGGTTGTAAAAGAAGTATTAAATGAAGAATGTAAAAGTGACAACAGAGTTTCAGATAATGTAAGCAATAATATAGATAACAAGGAAAAGAGTCAGATAAAATCTGATGCTTTCGAAAGTATAAGTAATAAAAAAGATGACAAAGAAAAGGGTGAGGTAAAAACTGACGCTTCAAAGGCTGAGAAGACATTGGAGAATCAACAAATTGCGCGTTCAAATAAAGAATGTATTAATAATAAGGAAAAATCTAATGATGGAGATACAAGCAATATGAACTCAAAACCTCAGCAAGTTGGCGAGCACAATAAGGCGCAGAACTTGTCAAAAGAGGAAAAAACAACCCAAGAAAACGGTCGTGCCAACAATATTTCTGTTGAGAAAGATGTACTTGGAAAGGAGACACAAGTCGAAAGCATAAAGGAGACAGAAACAGTTAAAGACTACTCAGCGGTACAAAAAGATTCAAACAAAGAAAAGCAGGATGATAGCAAAGCTCCAACCAAAGGAATGGAAAGTCATGAAGCCACGGAGTGTATACGCGCTCCCACACAAACTGCCATTCAAGTTGGAACGTCCGATCCCAACAATAAAACGATGGTATTGTTGCTCGATAACGAACCAAAAGCTGTTAAAGTTCGACGACTAACGCGTGCAAACACAGAGGAGTTAGAGAACCTATTTCAGGCGCTCGAAAAACAGTTAAGTGATCGCAATCTTATTAAATCTGAAGATGGCAAACTGATGCGAGCTGCCAACAAGCCGGATGTGGCGACATCTGAAGAATCGAAAGCGATAACTCAACTCTCGAAGGAAATAGAAGATTTCACTAAATCAGATAAATCAGCAAAAGAAGATGAAGCAACGCCCAAAAAGTGCGCGGATGTGTCAAAAACACCGACCGCCGAGGACTATGACTGGGGAACGGACCCCGTTAAACGACATTTGAAACGTAAGACCGCACATCTGCCATCAACTAAAGAGTTAGAAGCGCGTTTCAGATCACTGGAACGACAAATAAAACTGCTTGAAGATGTAGAAAAAATCGACGTCGAGCAACGTTTAAATGAAATTGAGCGCAAAATCAAAATGCAGTATTCGTTGTCGCACGAGAAAGATTTGACGAAGTTCTTAGAGCTCTGTGAAGGCAAGAACCTGGACGAACTGCCCGAAGCTATATCGGCTGCACGTGATAAATATCAGCCAGATGAAGCCGGAGCTGCTAGAACACCCACACCAAAGAAAGATCGCTCACCATATACCTCTCCTTTGCGTAATAAAGAAAAGACACCTTACACATCACCAGCGCAAACACCGCGACAATCCCGAAGTCCCAAAAGACATACCTCGCCGGGGCGTGTTCAATATGAAGATATGAATGCATCAGGCAGTAAAAGCCCCAAACGTCGTGTTTCGCCTGGACATGTTCGGTATGAAGATCCAAATATACCATCGACAGAGGATCTTGAATATCGTTTTCGAGCTTTGGAATTGCCCAGATCCAAATCGAGAGAATCGTTGAATAGCAAAGCACATAGAAATGTTGGAGATTCCAAGAAATCACTAATACATCCATTGGAAATGTTGCTTGATCCCAGTCCTGATGAGGATGCCATACCAACAACCGGCGAATTGGAGCACCGAATTCGTGTACTGGATGGTAAAAGAAAAACACCTTCACCTTCTCGGCGACCACGTTCACGCTCGCCAACCATTGAAGATATTAAAAATAGAAAATTAGCTGAAGAACAGCAACCGCGAACACCTATACATAATTTAGAAAAGCTTGTCGCCTCACCAACTAAAAGAGGATTACCTACAGCTGAAGAGCTAGAAGCACGTATGCGTGCCCTGGAAGAAGAGCACTGCTTTGACTTTAATATGCAGAAATCATACCAGGAATTCAATCGAAAGTTAAAGGATGTTGTGTCGCCATCGCTTTCCTTTGAAGAATTCAAAACGTCAAAATCACGCGAAGAAAGCCCCAGACGTGGTGAAGCTAACCGCTCAACTACACCGAAATCAGTGCTACGAGACACCGCCAGCATTTATGAGGATGTACAATATAGATCAACTAGTCCCAAGGCCATACGATTCCGTGACGAAGCAGCCGATTATGTGCCTTCTATGCCGTATAGGCCCAAATCGCGGACCAATATACGTGATGTCACTGGACGAATGGTGGGCACCATTAATTCTGGCGCTTTAGAAATAATTGAAGAAAATTCTAAATATCTTCAACGTATTCTTAAGCAGACTCTTACAGATTCATGCAGCAGCATAAATGCTATCGGACACCAGACGGAAGGACTTGACGAGTTTGGCAGTCGACTTATGAGGGTGAGTTGTACGTGAAACTTTAGTTTCCTAACTAATATTGTTATCGTAACTCTGTAGGAGACATCACCGCTACAACGTACAGGCAGTCACACCGGTATACCGCTGCGAACAAATGACAACATCAACGAGCGCTTGGATTCCATAAAAAATACGATCAAGTCCATCGACACGTTGTGTGAAGAGAAACCATATCATAAAGAACGTTGTCAGCGTTACATCGATTCACTATTTTCCGACTCGATTCACTTCGCCAGCAAGAAGACCTCGCTCGAAGATCTCTCACACTCTGAGAACCGTGTGCACGAATATGGGCCCTCTATACGTGTCTCAGATCACAGCCAAAGGCATTCGGACTACTTATATGGACGCACGATAGGTTCGGTAGACTCCATACGGTCTACGAGTCCACTGCGCGCTGCTAGTCCATTGCATCATCGTTCAAATCGGGATATACGACGCGAAATTTCACCACGCCGACGCCGCGAGGAAGAGCATGAAGAATACCAGAGTAGGGTAAGACGTGAAAATATGTTGCCAAATTATTATTTATTTGATAATCATAGAGATGTAAGTAGTAGTAGTTTAATTAAGTTTCATAAAGTAGATAGACAACTAGACACATACAAATATGATGATAGAGACAGATCAAGTTCACGATCGGCCTCCAGATCGCCGTTAAGGTCGCCGTATGGATCCAGGGAGACAATGATGACGGCAGAAAGGATGTTGCACGACAACACCAAAGCCAACACACTACAACACAACACTAACACCTACAACAGCTGCCACGACAACAACCGCTACAATACAAAAACAATAAACGATAAAAATTTCGAATTGGATTTAGACAGACAGGAAGCGTACACCATGCATCATCACACTACGGACATGCTACTGGGTCTTGATCCACTTAAACGATCCACTACACCCATTTATGCGCCCGGACGACTCGATATACGTCACACCACAGTTACATCAACCTTCTACGATCGTTTATTGGCGGAAAAAGAGATTGAGCGAAAATTTTGTCGACCATCTAGTCGTTCGCCCATCGTTTCACCTTCGGTTACGTCGAAAAGTTATGTGGACCTGGCCAGTGCAAGCTCTAACGCGCTATATCAAGACAGATCTCCAACAGCTGCGGTAACTATGCGTCCAGATAGGTCCGCTGGCTTGTCCAGCCTCTCTAATACAGAAAAACCACAACACTATCGAAATTCGATGACTGCCAGTTATCCATGTACCACTTATAGCGACACCAACCAGACAAACCTTTCGAACAGCAACACGACTATCGCGAAATTTAGTACCAACACCGACACCCACACCACCATCACCACCAACAATTATACTACCGCTACACTAAATTCGGCCACAACAACCACAGGTAATTCAAGCACTTATTCGTACGAAAGCACTAAACTCACGCGGTTCCCTCGGGTAACCGAACCTACTAGTATGGACTTACGCATACAAAGTTGTGATAATATACTGATGCAATTGAAATCTGCTTCTATAACTGCAGCTGGGTTAGGGCCTATGAGCAACAGCACAATAACGACTACAACAACAGCAATAACTGCAAATACGACCGGAACGCCGACGATATCGACTAAGACGGCGGCAAGCGACCGTTTGCCCGTCTCGATCACCACTCAATATCAAATTGATGGTCTGAGTGATAATAGAACCAAATGCACCACTAACTTCACCTCAACACCAGCTATAACAACAACAATTACCAATTTTTCCTTCTCTTCTATGAACATCACAAATACACCTATAACAACAACAACAGCAACAGTAGTAAACTTGAACAGCAAGCATAGCTTCACAATTCTGGACAGATCAACAACAACAAAAACAATACCCATAACAACAACATTATTTAGTACTGACACAACGACTATGACGACCACAACAGCAGCAAATACTTACAATTTGTATAATCTGACGACGACGACTGCAATGACTACAACAACAACAAAAACCACAGCTGTTGGCAGTGAAAACACCAACAAATTCATCACAAATAATTCGTCTCCATCATTTCTGTCCTACAATGCGACTAGTGGCGGCAACCTATACACGAGTAACACAGCCCTGGGTATGGCTCTACCAAGGATGCAACCAACTTCCGTTACAACAACATTCGCCTCATTGGGCCTTTACACTAGTAATTTAAATAGCTACAACAATAATAACAACAACTTTGGCAGCAACAACAGCCAGTTGAATTAGTACAACAACGACAACAAAAAAATTTTATTGAAGTGAAAAAAAAAACTGTGAAGACTCTTGGAGTTAACCGAGCTGCCTAAATATACAAAAGCAAAATATGAAGAAACCCGAAAAAACCAAGCGAGTATGTGTAGTGTAGCGTAGCACGGAAAAACTGAATGCTGTGTGTCTGTAGTTGAATTGAGAGAAATGTTGTTAACAAGTTTTTAGCATCGGAGCAAAATAAGATAGAAATTATATTTACATACATACAAGCATAGAAGTAGTTATACATACGTATACTGTAGTACGAAAGAAATTGTAATTAAATTTCGATTCGGAAAATCAATAGAGCGTTTATTTAATTGTAGCTGTAAGATATGGCCGATAATGCCGGTAGAATTAATCCTATCGGAATTGGATAACTCAAGCGCGCAAAATCAGAGAGGAACTGTTTTCATTATTTTCACACTTTTCCCTTAATAACGAAATACGCTAAAGCTTACGCGCAAAAAAAAGTATCTCGGGCATGTCGAAAACCTAACGTAACATGCATTCTTTTTAAAGTCATTATTCTAGAGTAGAAGACTCAAGATACGGAACTGTCGAGAAAGAACCGTTCTGTACTTTCGAAGAAGTTTTTTCCAAAAGTATACTAAAGTAATCATATGACACGGTATTTTATAGAACCATCTTTAGAATTTAAAAGCTCAGAGAAATGATAAAGTGCAATCTTATGATAAATCCTTTTACAGATGTAGATACTTGTAATATCAATGAGTTCCAGCAACATTCACAGCAGGCTACCTTTCTTTAAACTGCTGCGAGACTGAAAAGTTCGTATCATTAAAGATTTGATTTAAAAAAAGGGTTTCAACCTTTACGATCTTTCAAGGGATTTTTCAACTTTTTACAATTTTAGCTCTTATATAGACTTTGGTTTCGACGATTTCTTTCCTTCATATACTCTCTTGAGGTGGAGAATACGGTGGATGCGGAAGCAATTCGAGGCCCAGTACATGCAGCTTTATCATCGTCTTCAATTAAGGCAATTTTTCGCAACTTCCTTCTAAAACATCTCAATAAAGTTGAATGAGAGAGCCGATGATATCTATGATTTGCGCATTCTTTCCATGCATTGAATTTGTTTCGGATTTTCGAATTACTTTTAATTGCGCTAAATGGAAGTGAAACGATGGAATTATATGTTATGTCATACAAGTATATCACGCTAAAATTTAGGTTTCTTACATAGAACAGGTCCAAACACCATCCAGAATTGTCTATTCCTTGTCATTTTTAACCGATCGTAAGTTAGCTGGTGCAGCTTTCACTTTACACAGAGTTGAGCAAACAGCATATTCCTTTGATATCTCAAGAATGTCAGTTATCTCGATCAACTTCAATTCACGTTCATCCAAAAATGTTTTGAAGTGTTTTTTTAGTTAGTTTTTGATGGTTTATCTGGCCTTTTCCAAATATTCTGTTCAACTAAATAAATTCAATTAAGCTTTTGTAATTTATTTTTCCAATTACAATCAAGGTTGAACTCGTTTTTCGATCTCATTCGACTTTATTTTATTTGAGTTATCCGATTTCGGGTAATATTTGTAAACGTAATATTTGCACTTATAAAACTCAGTAGCTTAACACGGAGTACATGAATAATCGCCTTGCACGAGTTTTAAGAGAGTAACCGCTTTTTGAAAATATGTAGCTAACGCAACTATGAGTGATTCAGATATAAACGAGGAATGTTTGCTTATAAGAAAATATGTAGTGGAGATATGCGCTTAGTATCACAAAGAAATTTTTTACACGATTTTATGTCTCAAGAAAACAAATAATTTTACATTTAGTATGCAGTGTTATGCTCAAAATTTTGTTGAATATGCGATAAACATATATAAAGAGTGCTTGATTTTAAAGGTTTTAATGAGCGACAATAATATGGCTCTGGTTATCAGAAGTTTCAATGTTTAAAACAAATATGAAAATTGAATGTAACCTTCATGAAGTTCTTACTAATTCTGAAGGTTTTAACTTTGATGTTTGATCTGTTCACAAATTTTTAACAGCAGTTTTTACTTGTTATTTTTATTGAAAAATCGTGTTTATAGTTAATTGCTTGTGGAACCGGCAGTAATCCTTTAAAATTTAATTTAGTAAATAATATTTTTTGAACACCATTTATGTAATAACTCCACGTATTTACAAATATTTGAAAAATTGAATGCCATGCCTTAATAATTTGTAATACTTATATGTGTTACATTTCATATTAATCGATTTAAAATTAAGTAGAAGGAAACGTCGGAGACCCTACAAAATTCATATGCATGACGAGCTGAGGCAATTTAGCCCTGTACGTCTGTCTGTCTGTGTATACGCGAACTAGTCCCTTAGCTTTTGAGATATTGATCTGAAATTTGCCGCACTGCCTTTTGTCTTCAAGAAGAAGCAGATTAGCCGAAATCGTGCTTGTGACTTTTTTTACTTATTCGATATTTAAGAGATAATTTCAAACAAGCGTTTCAATTTTATCGCAGTGCAGTAGCAATTCGTTTTTTATGAGAAAATTCGAATATTAATGGCAATAAAAGTTCTTTGATACATCTTTGATCTAAGAAATCACTTCGTGGATTCCATTCTATTTTCCATAAATGCAGTTTTATATTCGCTTTGGCCATATATTGTAACATTATGCTTCTTATATTAACATATCCTTGAAGTTTACTTACATATAAGTAGTGGCTCCAGTAGATAGCCAAGTTTCACAATCATACAGGTTTTACACAGACATTAAATATCTTGAGCTTTACATTCTCGTGTATAATTCTCTCTTTCCAAACATTTGAGTATAGCAAAGCTGGACTTTGCTTTTAGCATTCGTATTGGACAGTATACTACTCAAGTACTCAAATTGTGAAAGATTCTCGATTGGCGCGTAAGTAGTGTCATGAGAGGAAGTATTGCTGGCATTTATTAATAACTAGGTTCGTCTGTGGTCGAAATTCGACCAATAGAAAATACAGTTTATTAACAATGTTAATAGAATTTAAATTTTATTGAAGTATTTGAACAAAATGTGAACAAAATCTAAAAAAAAGTTGAAGAAAACAATTCAAATAATTTTAAAAAAAAATTTAATTTATAACTCAGTCTCGCGCAAAATCGCTTGTTCTGTTTCTGTCTTTGGCTTAATTCTACATTGAATTAAATCGGTCAATTTAAATATTTCGTCGTATGTGGCCACGTATGCACCTGCGAACGGATTCCAAAATAATTAGTGTAAAATATTAATGAATTATTTCAATGAAATACCGATGAAGCCTCAAACTTATGCTCCATTTTGAAATATTTTCAACAAAGAAATTATCTTACCTTCTGCTGCGTACATTTGTTCTTCAGGTTATAGCGGAAACACGGTTATAGTGGAAGCACTTTATGAATCCGCAATTTCCTGAAACAGCACCTTCTTCTGAAGAAATTAAACATTCTAACATAATTTATCGCGTGGATGCTTCAATTGATCGCATTTATTATTCAATGAATCGCTTTCAATTTTCAGTTGATCGCGTTCCTTCTTTAATTAAGCCACAATTTGCAACAACAACAAGTTGGCTATTTATACGCATCCATATATTGCATCATAGGCCATTAAAACGTCAAAGAACAGTTAAAAATGCCCAAGTTAGATAGCTTTCGTTAGATGTAGCTTATAGCTTTTTGGTTTAGACAGCATATTTTAAATTGGGTATCCACGAAAGTTTACACTGTCAATTGGAATTCGTTAGAGTTAAGTTCTCTGATCTTTTTTGTGAATGTTTTTTGTAGAGGTATTTTATTTAGTAATCAAGTCAAAACAATGTAGATTTACAGAAACTAAGCACTTTATCAATCAGTGATCAATTTTGAAAAATTTTCGATTCCCTTGGTACTCCAAGAGGACCTCCGTGAGGAAGATTTTTCTGCTTAAAATGATCTCAAATACATCCAAAATATATATTATAACAATTTATGAATATAGATAATAATCGAAGAACGAGTTGAAATTTGTATATTTCACAAAATGACGGCTTCCATAAAAAGTAGTTTTTTTAAAAAGTGGCTTGAAAAATCAAAAATATTATCTCAAACCGTATTCCTTCGATTATTGCCTAACAAATATAGCTAGGCTTCTCATCGGCTCTCAAAACATCATTTCGAGAAAAACGCGTCAGAAATCTTATTCCTTCGCTTATTACCTGACAATTATATCTAAAAATTTCGTGTGAAAATTAATTGGTCTAGCCGTTACGCAGAAATTGTCCGACTCTGACAACAGCATTTCGAGAAAACGCTTTTAAAGCTATGAGAGAAACTTTTTTATTTGCCGGATCAACTTGAAATTTTATAATTGAAAAAATCCTTTTTGACATTCACAAGTGGATAAAACACCTTAGGAGCGCAAAACTTGATATTCCATTTTAGAGACGACAGTAGATCCATTTTAATTAAAATTTCTTCTAGAGACATATATAAAATCGAAATGAATCTGCTGCTGGTTATTCTTAAGTAAATCTCAATATTTCCGAAACAGTTTTCTATTTTTTATTAAAAACATATAATTTTGTAAATGAAATTAATATAATTATTTAAACCATTAAAAAAAGAAAAACAACAGCAAAAGAAACAGCTAATTTCTCTAAAACTAACTAATTTATTGTTGTAAATGCGAAAAAATCAAAGTTGATTACATAACAGTCGTAAAAATGCGCTCCAAAAAAGAGTTAAAAAGGTTGGCCACTCTTGTTCGATTTCCCTTCGGTCTAAAAACATACAAACCTGCATATTAAATTGTTAAAAAGAAAACACAAATGAAGATTACTATAGAATTTTACACTGAATAAAAAAAATACTACACACATTTCTTCTTCTAAAATTATACTCATAACTAAAAGCAATAATGAAAGCATACATAAAAATATATGAAGCTCGAAAAGGCAGTTAGTCGAGAAACAGCAATAAGTTAGTCTAATTATATGAACAGTTAAGTAGTTAATCGAGCACCAACATTATTCTTAAACTTCACCCTTCAAAACTTATTTATCTGCACGCATTTTAGCACACATTAACATAGCAACAATAGATCTGTATTTACATATATAATAATAAACTTATATAATTGATTCAAGATCAATAACATTTGTCGGAATTTTGCACCTGAAAACTGGTTGGGCCTACAAGCATAGCACCACTTGCAACATACCTCATATATTCATATATTCAAGCATACATATATATGTATATGCATAGTGAGCAACTTACTTGCTTATAGAAATAGTAATACTATACCAAAAATTCTACTCTAGCACTAAAAATAATTAAAGAAAGCTAACTAATACTATACCCTTAAACATATTAATATTCAAATAAATTTCCTTGAACTCTTACTTGCCCCTCTCGATCGTTATTCAATGTAATGCGTTTGAAGTTTCCAGTTATAAACAAATACCTACATACTTACATAGTTCAGTAGTTTTTTAAATGGTTCGAAAGCGCTTATTTAACTACTAACTGAAAGTATTAAAGTTTTTATAAAAAATACTTTATTAGCGTATTTGCTCAACTTCAGTATCTTAATACAGCATTAAATTTCGAAACATTGTTCAAAGACCCAATTAAATGTTAATGACTGAATTTCCATATATATTGTATGTAGTAATTATATAAAAAATTACGATAACAAAAACGCATATATTATACACATATTGTATTAAATTATAAATTAGTTAAATATTTTGGACATAATGTGAAATTTACAAATAGTAATGAGATATTTATAATTACAGTTATTAAATGAAAAGAATATTTAATCAAGCATTCAGAAAGCTTTGTTTTGAATAATATATAAGCGAAAAGGTGAAGCAATGTCGAAATCGCAAAAGGAAAACAAATACAATATAATAAATAAATTTAAAATATATATATATATTATATATAAATAAATAAAAAAAAAACGAAAAATAAAAAAATACACAAGCATCAAAAATCGAACCAAATTCACTACAATAAAAAATTGTATTATATACAATAATACTTTGCGTGTGTGAGTATTAGGGCAATGCATGTAGGTATATTAAATATACAATAGCAAAATTTTAGTTAAATTTAAGCTGCAACAGATGAAAAATATATTTATAGATTAAAAATATTTAAACATATGTCTAATGAAGATTTCTTATGTTAATTAAATTGTTTTAGTGTATTTAAAACTTGTTCTTAATTTTTGTGTAAATTAAAATTACTATTTTTTATATATTTTTAATAGTTATATAAAATTTAATTTGTACTTATAAAAAAAATAATTATATATTATATTATAAACTAGTACAACAATTAAAGTTAAAAATGCAATTTTCCAAATATTTAATAGCTATGTTACGTTATGTATGTTTATGTAAATACCATATTGTATAATCATATATATCTATTTTGTTATTTAGTTTGTGTAATTTGCTTATTTATTAAGGCATTAAAAATAATTATATCGATAATAATACTAAGCAAAGCCAATAAAAGCGCATTAAATAAAAATCAACAAAATTAATTTATAACTTTTACTCAAATTCCTTAAGGCGTTCGTAAAGTGAATTGTACAGGGTGCAACAAAAAGGGTAGACACAAAATAGTGACAGCTCATAAATGAAACGAAGTGTCAAACTTTTATAATATCTGAAAAGCCTTTCTCCCTTTCGTACATGACATCATAAATTAGTAAATTTTGCTGTCATATGCAGTGGTAAACAAGAAAAAGCCATAATACGCTTCGCAGGTCCATTTCTTATAGAAACATATACTGCACGACTACACCTATGTTAGTGTAACAAAATCAGAAAACGTAACCGGCCAACGGTTTGCATCCAACGAAAAACGTTTTGCTAGTTCTTTCTAGCCACGTTGTTTGATATAAAGAACCTTCAAGTCGAATAAAGTTTACTTACTAAGAAAAATAGATCTTTATTCCAATTTTGATCGGCCTGTGTGAATAGCAGCTGTATTTTGTAGGCGATACCTACAAATGAGTAGCTTCTTTGGGAGAAAGGGATGTGTGCAATATTGCAGATTCATATCCCAAAAACTGAGGGACTAGTTCGTATATATACAGACACACGGACGGACAGACAGACACGGGTGTTACAGACATCCTGGCAAGCTTAACATACCCGGTATGCAAATTACGGGGGTAAACTACGCTCGGAAATATTGACGCTTTACTTTGGAAATAATTTTACCCGAAAGCGGGGCCTATCTTGCACTGTTTTGCGGATTTAATAAGCAATATCTGTTCGAGATAAGTGTAATGCCTATGTATCACTAATGAATGATTATGTGGGCCGAAGTTTGTGCCAAACCAAAATTGGGTCAGATTTTTTTCTACAAAATGAAACATTAGAGAGCAATCGCACTTGATGGATATAGGCGTATTAAATGTAGTCTCTAATGTTACAAAACTTTTTTCGACGGCTCATGTCAAAAAATCTTACTGATGCTGTTTATCCAAATTCATCTATTTTTACTTCCCTGACCCCTTATTCAGAAGTTATTTAAAAAGCAAAGGGTACGCCATCAATCCATATTGAAATGAGTTCAAGACAAACATTCGTCCATACAACAGCGATCTGTTTTGCTATAGTCAATGAGCGATTAAGGCCACTTAGTGTGAAGTTTCAGAGATGTTAGACTTTTATTGACCAATCAATTTGCAGAGAGGCATCCCATCAAAAGTTCAATTTTTGCCTCGATTTTTTAACTCCAACAAATATATATAATGCTACACATATAGTAAGCCTATTTACCCAACTGTGTTTTTTATATGTTCAAACTATCGTGATTGCATCTGTGACCTTTTACTTTTACATCTATTTGCCTAATTGTCAATTTCGACCGTTTCGTGCTGTCATTTTGAGGCCAGAATTGATGAATGCCTAATGCTTAACTTCTATTAAAGCCAAGCGCTTAGAATACCAGTGCAGTTCCCTCCGATAGTTTGGGTCGAACAACACAATGTTCGCATTATTATACCAGAAAGATGCTCTATTCTCACCCAGTCCACCTATTCATATTTATATCCCTATTTACGGCTGGCTAATTTTAGAGAATTTGCCTAGCAACATCAAGCATTTTTGTTCACACTTTGAAGTAGGTGTTGTAGATATCGGATATAAATAACGGGTAAAATATTTAGATACAAGACACGTAAATCTATACTCGTAAGTTTCACCCTTTAGTATCACCTACAATGTTTCACTGAATCCTAACTCTTAGAAAATACACCCTTCTATATATAACCATGCTATCGCTGCTTCCAACAGTCTATCTAAATTAATCTGCCGAAATTTTTTTCTTAGCTTTTTTAACCAACTTAAGTTTAATAAGAATATCGATTTTTAATTTCCGAAATAGAGTTATGTGTAATCGAGAATATCTCAGACGTGACTCAGGAAAAACCCTATATACACAAATATGTTTAAACATAACGAACATGACGAAGTACAAAACTTTCGTAATGAAAGAGTAAATTAATTACAACAGAATATAATTTCCCCTTCTACGATAGTAGAAGTTATAGTAGCGGATACCTTAATATCTTTCAGCTCATTTTTTTTCTTCCAGCAAAGATCTTTTTTCCACTCACATATGATCACAGCATGAACTGTGAGATAAGACTTAATCAGTTTAATTTTCAGACAATGCTCGATGCTGATAAGAGCAAATGAGCGCTAAAGCGCGGCTCTATACGCCAATGGTTCGTTTCAGTTAGTCGGTGATAAGCAATTGCTGGCGATTGAAGCAATACTCTTGAGAAGAGTGCAGAGCTTGTGTGCAAACTTAGTCCTCTATATTTAGTTAGATATCATTTATAATTTGTGGGTTTCTTTAAATTGCAAATAAAAACAACAATGCAACATTTAAACCATGTATCAAAGCGCCAACTGGTCGCGCTCACGCAGTCAACGAATAAATCTTGGCAGCTGCCACGTGGGCTCTACCAAGCACGTTGCTTGGCCACCGTGCCTGTGGGTGAGGTAATGTTTCCCTCGAAATCTGACTTCCCCAGCCGTCATATTGGACCACGTAAAACGGATGTGGTCGCCATGTTGGATACGCTGGGCTTTAAATCCTTGGAGGAGCTCACGGAAAAGGCTGTGCCGAAGCGTATACAATTGAAGCGTAATCTCAACTTGGAAAAGCCTTTGAGTGAGTATTTATTGGAGGGTTAATTTTGAATTTAAAAACATGTTTACGTTTGTGTCGAATTATGTCCTGGTTGCAACATATTTGCATCTTATTCCGTTCAAAATATTTCCCTTCGTGATATGCGTTTTATTTTAATCACGTTTTCACTTGTTGTTTGTGTTACTTCGTCTGCTATAGTCACTAGACCCCCTGCTGTTTCGTTTACAATAACACTGATAAGAGCGTCGGGTCCAATCATTATAATACGCCTAGGTTATGGGTTCAACAGCTTTTATCATTTGAAATTGTTCAGTTGTTAGGGCATTGAATAGGCGTTTTGCAAATCGCCCATTTATTTATAATACAACAAAATTTTTATTTTTAACTCAATATTTGAGCTGACAACGTTTCTTGGTTATTGTAAAAATATTGAATGTATCATTAGGACTGATGTGTAAATTTGTGAGACACAGTCTAATGTACTTAATAAGCTTTCTGTCATGGCTGTATCATGCGGTCAGACTATTTAGTACGACTCAAATTTATGTATTAATAATAATTTATGAAATTTGAGAGTCTTATAAAGCGTTTTTGCTTGGTGGAAATATTTTCGGGTTTGGTATTGCTTGAAAAATGGTTTAGGTAAAAAACTTTCAACAGATTTAAATTTAGTTGCGACCATGACTCTAAGCTAAGATACACCGAATAATACACAAATATCGAATGAACTTAACACCCGCGTTTCTCATCCCATTAGTGAATCAATTGTGTAGCCCAAAAGTTATATCAAAAATGAACATTATGATAACACAGTGGTTTCGTTGCCCTAGATATAGGATCGATTTTGGATACATATATTTGTGGTCACAATTCATAAAACTATCAATGAGTGTGTAGGATTTGCTCGCCTTTATTTTTAAATCCTTATTTCTATTTTAAATTAACAGAAAACATGAAACAAAATAACAGATTGAGATCCTGTTGTCAGTTTTGTTTTGAAAAATAAGGATACATTGAATGAAGCAGAGAGAAAAATATTAAAACATGTGTTACAATCATGATTCAATCACAGTAACGATTCAATTATATAAGAAGTTGGTTTCTTAACTGCTAACTATCACTAGCTAGCAAAGTTTCTGCTGGAAAAGCGTTTCTTTACCCGAAAAACTAGCAGAAGAGAGCACAAGTTGAAAGCGTAAAATGCTGAGAGATGCATATAAAGAAGATAGGTAGGTAGAGTGGCTGTCTGTCGACGCTCTTAGGCCGCTGGGAGGCCCATTGTGAAACCACCGGGACTAAAATCCCTTCACTTTATTGTCTCCTTTACATGTTTATCGTGAAATAAGATGTTCGGTCCACTAAGAGATCAAGGTATTTTTTCACTATCTTTGACGAAACCCTAAGAGACTTCAGTGATTTCAAAGCCACTTGGCCACCTGTATACCTATATAAAAATATGAATATATTCCTTATTGTGAGCATACTCCTTGTCAGAACAAGAACGCATTCTTAAATTGCTGTGATCTCCGCTTGGAAGACACTGTAGTGATCTGGTAGTTGAATGCGCTTTTTTTATATCTAATTTTGTCGAAAACACCTCCTCACACTAGATTATCTTGTTTTTACCCATCCGTATAGATGCTTATCCTTGCATCCCTGACACTCTCGCCCCTTTTCCACTATTCTCTGGAAGGGAGGGCATTATTGGGGACCGAATTTAAATTCAATTCTATAGGATTTCGAAAACCTGTGGTATTTGGTAGAATCGGGACTTATTAAGTATCTTAGAATGCCCCTTATTACAGGAGAACAATAGAGAGGACTCTCTCAGTCTGAGAGCTGACTTAACTACCAGTTGCTTACAGAACAAGTCTGTTGGCAGTAAATGTAAAATGTCGTTTAATGCCTTGGCGTTGTTCTAAGAGCTCCACTAATGCATATACTAGCTGTTCATAGTATGCTTTCCATATACCTTACCTCGTATTTCTTTTCTATTATTGGCCACCCTACCAATATATCGTATGCCATAATCGGCTTTACAACTGCTGTGTAGAGCTAATTAGCTACACAAGCCGTTAACCAGTTAACAGTTAAAGTTCTGTAGCTGCTTTCTTTAGCCTAGCCTCTAAGTTTGGCTTCCATGAAAGCTTCCTGTCTGAAATCAGTACCAAGTAACTTGCCTCATCTCCTATTGTCAGCCCATTCAATAATGGCGGCATAACTTCTGGAGTTTTGAATTTTCTAGTGAACAATAACACACTAACTCTGTCTTGCTAGCATTTAAGTTTACTCCGCATGATACAGTCCATCGATTTATGTCGTTTAATATTATATTTTTTGCATAAGGTTTGCGAGTGTAT